CAGAATACAATTCACCCTCTAAAATTCCCAGAATCCACCACCCTGAGGCTGATGTAATTCATGACCGTCTTCAACTGCTTGCTGTAAGACATATTTTATGCTTTTATTATTTTGCTTTCACTTCTACTATAATATTTTCAGTTATATAAACCATAATGATTTTAACATTAATTCTTTTCTTTTTCAATAGTACAAGTGCCACGACCCCACAGTCAACCCCAGAGAAACGAGTCAACAACTTTGCACCCTTGCTACTGATGTAATGACCATAATGTCACAGTGGCAAAGGCAAAAAATTGCACTTCAAAACACTGTACAAACTTTAAGAACAGAACTCAACAAACCAAAAACAAAACTTTCAGAAGCTTAAGCTGAGCTTTTAGCTGCAACCAAAGACTTTTGCAAAGATGGTAAGGCATTTTGTGTTCTACTACAATTTTAGTCTAGTCAAAACAATCATAACATCATTTTTTTTCACAGACCTAAATCACATCGCCACACAAACGGATTCAGCTTCAGTGGAAAATGCAGACATGCTAATTTCAACTAAAGACTTTTGCAAAGATGGTAAAACATTCTAATTTCTGTGGCTCATACCATTCCAGTTTTTGTTTATTGGCCTATATGTGCCTTCAGTTGGAAACTATTTTAATTTCCTTTTTTCTTTTACAGACCTACATGACATCACACAATCTGCTCTTCCAGTGGAGGATGAGGATGCATGAGCCCACTTTACTTTTCAATGTGCACTGTTTTTAAATAGTTATATATTATATTCGTGTTTTGTTTGCTTTTTTTTAACTGGATTCACTGTTTTTAAATAGTTATATATTATATTTATGTTTTGTTTGCTTTTTTTGGAACTGGATTTAGCTCTTCTTTACACTTTTAATTTAGCCTATGTTTAATATATTTTCCTTGTGTTATTGTTTTGATTGCAATTTTAACTTAACTTTTAACTTTAACAATATTTTACAAATAAAAAACCTTTACATCATAATGTCTCCCTAACTTCTGTACAATACCAAACAATAATTGCTTTGGGGTTTTAATAAGCTGTAAGCCATAATCATCAAAATTGTAACAAATAAAGCTTTAAATATCTCACTTTGCATGAAATGAGTCTATTTAATATAGTACATATATTAGTAATATATTTCACATGTATTTCCCTGTCAGTTCGCCTCATTTAAAATGAGCAGCTTAAAAAATCGTAAGCTTAGAATTATAAGGTTCTATCTCCGTTTAGGGTAGTTCTGAGATATTGAGCATCAAAGTTTGTACATCCCAACTGGCAAAACTGTTATGTAGTATAATCTTCTATTATAGCTTTATCTATTAATCTCTTTTTTTTTTTTTTACAAAAATAACACCACACAGGCCTAATGATCCACCTAATGGATCAGATTATGTCAAAAACTAAATTTTGACCAAAAGTGAAGATAGAACCTTATAATTCTAAGCTCATGAAATACATGTTTAAATTCAGTTGTTACTATACTCTGTCAATGTAGTTTTATTTTGACCTAATGAAATTAATACACGTATTTTTTTCAAATACTTTTTTCGGTTCCTACATAAAGACTTTTTATTGTTACTCAAGTCTAATTATGTGTCACTTTTTGTATTATAAAGATATATAATCTGTGCAATTTACAATATCTCAGTGTTTTGTAGTAAATTGTTAACAGTTATTTACTATTATTAACTGTTTTTACACCTGAATTAAATACATTTTATTGAATTGAGCATACTGGTTAGTTGAGAAAGTGTAGACAATAAATCATTAAGATTTAAAAAGGGAACATTGCATCACAAACACATTCTTTTATATTTCTTTAAACAGTTGTGAACAAATTATATATTTGTTGATTTATTAAGAAAATATTGTCATCTACTAATATTAGACTGTATTTTTGAAAAGCAAAGTAAACTATAATAATTTAATATGTAAAAAGTATTTATTATCATTTAGATGTATCTTTTTATAGGCTTTTTACGCTGTTGTGTTATAGCCTAACTTTTTTCTTTGATTAGTCTGTAGAATGTAAAAAAACAAGCTGTCATATTTGAAAGTGTTATGCAAAGTGCAACGTGACTGGTTACATTTAAAGAAAACGGAAGTTGATGAGCTTTGGAGAAGCTATTAATGAGAATAAAAAGTCAAACTTTTAATGCATTGTTGTTTACGTGTAATACACAGCTAGTCAATTGCCGGTGACAGACACTGATTAGCTCATTCTTTGTCTCTATACAAAAAGATACATTTGCGTAAGCAAGCACACTAAATGCGTTTCTATAGCAGTGTTTTTGTCACGCATATGCGAAAATGCCTTAATGCGTACTATTTATGTCAGAACAGGTTGCAATAACTATGCGAACATTATCGCCTCTAACTCAATATGTTCAATGTTTGCATGAAAACAAATGTGATGAGATAGTGAGACAACAATTCGTGGAAAAAGTAACTGGGAAGAACAGGGAGTTTAAGTAACCATCGGAAGTATTTAAGCAATAGTCAAAGTGTTCAAATAAATTCTCATTGATCTCTTTAGCATATAAAGTGTATTTAAGAAAATGTTAAAATACTATTTTAAAAATGATTGTTTACATGATGTATTGTTGTTGTAGAAAAAAATGTTTGTTTTTTTTTTTTTAAGGATTTGTTGCTTGTCTCCAGAAATACACAGAGTCAAAAGCCGGTGGTAGGGATTAAGCTCATTTGAAAATGCGAACATTATTGCCAAATGCCGCAGTTTAACCTGGCGACACTAAACAAAAGAATGATGAGATTAAGTCTCACACCAGCAGAATTGTGAAATGTTCGCCGATTTACATGAATACACCATGAATGGGGCAGTTCGCACTCGTCAGACTAGTCAAATGGCAACGATCTCCTTGATCAGCTTTCTCTAAAACATATCAAACTCTACATTTCACAGTATTGTAAATTGGCTTTATAAAATACATAATTTTAGAGTCAGATTTGAAATGAAGCATGACCACAATTGTGGCTACACTTTAGTTGTGGTTATAAGTTGCAATCAATCCTATATATATATATATATATATATATATATATATATATATATATATATATATATATATATATATATATATATATATTTGTTTTGATGTTTAAGCTAAGCTTAAAATTTTTTATTTTGGATATGTCATGAAAGCATCTCTTGCCAAAATTGGGGATGACTAGAAAGGGTTAATAAGCTTTGTATACTTTAAAATCAAGAGAACAATAGGCCTATGTCTGCATAATACAGGATATCAATAATCAATAAATTAAATGCTTTGAAAAGAATAGCATTTATTCATATTCAGTCTGTTCTGTAGGCCAATATAAAACCGGATAATATTTTATGACCATATGTTTACATTTTTTTTACTTACACAAGCTACTTTTTAGCTACTATTATAATACTGATACACATCTGTCTATTGTAAAATGTGCCTAATAATGTGCTTATACTCCATCTTGTGACTGGGCATCCTAGTAAGAGCTACTAATAATCAAAATAATTAAATTTTTGTACCCAAGCATTGGCTCGACCTTGTGGTGCTAATGGTTATTTTATTGCCTCAAAGACTGCAAAGTAGCCTAAGCTTATTTTTATTGGAAGTCTAAAACACACCATATCCACATCACAAACATTGTCACAACCCATAAACAATTGTTCACAAGAAATCGCTTGTCCAAATGTGAGATTTAAATTCATTGAGTGTGAACCGGTTTGAAGCGCTGTTGGGTGGGGCTTGTAGAATACGCAACAGCACCGCCCTTTGGCAATCAGCGTGCAATACTCATAATAAATTATGGTGGAAATCAAACACATTCTCTCACAATTCTTTGAGATGGCACCACGCGTATGGATCGTCGGGAGTTCCATCATCCGCAGATTGCATACTCACATCTGTGATCAGCGTCTGGACGAAAACTTTGGTTTACACTGTGAGATTAACTGGGAGGGGAGAGGAGGAAGACTTTAGGAACAGCTCTTTCCAGCTCTGCGTTCTCTCAGGTTCAAAGCTCCTGCTCCAGACATCATCATTATTCACCTGGGTGGGAATAGTTTGTGTCGGGAGGGCAGCGACCGCCTCGATTTCCTTCGGGAAATAAAATGTGACCTGGCTGAAGTTTGCAAAATGTTCCCCAGAAGCAGGCTGGTGTTTTCTGGCATTCTACCTCGTCTCAATTGGAGAGGTCAGACGGGCAGGTCTGGCTATGCCATTGAACGGAGCCGGCCGGCTTGCTGCTTTAGTTAACCGTGTGAGGCTGTCTCGTGACATGCTTGCTCAGATTGAGGTAGAATTTTGACATTCTCCTGTTTCCAGATCAGGATGCTCTCTGCATAGTACGCAAGTCTCTCTCTTGCTCTCCTCGTCGTGCGCACGATACGAAGTTTGTATGAGGCGCCGGACTGGACAAAAGCGAAGCGAACTGCGCGAGAGAGAACGAGCGTTTCAGTGCGCGCGAGAAAGGCCGAGTGTTTTGCGCGCGAGAGAGACCGAGCAGTGCAGTCGGCCTCTCTCGCGCGCGCGCGTACTGAAACGCTCGTTCTCTCTCGCGCAGTTCGCTTCGCTTTTGTCCAGTCCGGCGCCTCATAAGTTTGGACTTTGGAACACAGTCTCGCATGTGCGCTCGCTCTAGATTCCGGGAGATTTTAACTAATCACAAATGTGGCTCAATGGTTAGATTTATAGACAAACAACTGGTTACAACCGTTCTTCAAAATATCATCCTTTGTGTTCAGCAGAAGACAAAAACTCATACAGGTTTGCAACAACAAGGGTGAGTAAATGATGACCGAATTTTCATTTTGGTGTGTGTGGCGTATCCCTTCAAAGGTTTAAAGGTTAAAAATGAATCTTTTTAATGGGACGTCCTAATATTAAGAATGACCACTGGATGTCACTCTTCAAGCGCAGACAGAATCTGATGAATTGAGTGTCCGCTCAGATGTTCATCACACGCGCACAGCTGTGACGTTTAGCAAAACTGGTCTTGCAACATTGCTGGTTACCCTGGCAGGATGTAAAAACTTCTACGATCTGCGATATACTGATGCAATTTTCATCAAGATATATATGAGAAAACGTATTGCAATGTCTCTTCCGTGTCGATGTTGTTGTTTTTTTAATGTAAAAGTGGCGTGTTATTGAGAATGAAGCTGAAGAAGAGCATATTGCTTCGAGCACGCTAGCTAGAGTCGATTTTTCTTTCGCCAACAGATTGAACTCGTGTTGCGTGTGCTATTGCAGTAAAGCGGGTTCGTACAATGATCTCGATGTTTGGATCGAGTGGTAGATTAGCCGTGTCTCTGATTTTTGTTTTTGTCAGCGTGTTTGTATTGTGTGAATATGTGATCTATTATGCTGTTATTCTGCGTTGCTCATGGCCGCATATTGAAGCTGAAGATTCACATTTACCTTTGCGGGCGTTATTTCTCTCTGATACGCACTTATTAGGGGCCATCAGAGGACACTGGCTCGACAAACTCAGAAGGTATTTATCTGGTATCAGAAGCGTACGACCTGCTTATCTAAACACTCTATAAAAAAGTGTTTTTGAGACATTTTTGTTACAGTACATTGGAGTAGGCTACTGTGTAAATGCCACAGTACATGAAGTACTGTGGCATAAATGCCCATCACATATCATCACTGTACCATGCTGTAGGACTTGTTTAGAACAGGACTGTAATCACCTAACAGTCTGTGAACATTACAAAAGATTATATATTTTTTATATTGGTCAAAGTAATTTTTATTTAATTTTTTTAGTTGAAGGAAGCTCTGCACATTTTTATTATGAGTATTATTTTATTATATTTTTGCAGAGAATGGCAGATGGAAAGAGCGTTCCAGACATCCCTGTGGCTTCTAAATCCAGAAGTTGTTTTCATTTTAGGAGACATATTTGATGAGGGCAAGTGGAGCTCCAGTCAGGTACAGTTGATGGTACAACAAACACAAAGCAGGAGACTGTCTAAAAACTAGTTGCAAAATATGACAATTAGCTGTGGCTGAGTCTAAAATAATTGCATGCATATAACACTTTGCAATAAGGTCTAATTTATTTACATTACATAATGCATTAACATTGAGCATTTGTTACAGTATTAATACTTTGTTTAATGTTAGTTAAAGCTGCAGTCTGTAGTTTTTCCTCTTTCTCACTATCTCTGTTTGACATTTGCAATTGCAGTTATTCGCAGAATTATCAAATTTACCTGTGCTGTGCCTCGACATGGCACAGCGCGAATGAATCCAATGTTTTGAATAGAATGTGTGGCTGTCAGTCACCTCGCTGGTGTGGAGATTGGTCATACTTCCAAAAAGTAGAATCTGTCATTCCACAGATTGTACTTTTTGGAAGTATGACCAACCTAAGAATTTTCAGTGTGAAATGTCATCTAAATAAGTAACATCCACTTTTGTTCTGACCAACTAAGGGAAAAAAAAGCATTGCAGTAAATTGCGGTGATTAAGTCTAACAATCGCTTATCATATCACTTCAAACCGTGCAAATTATACTTTGTTCTCAAATTGTTAATGTTAATAACATCAGCACTGCGCAAATACATTTAATGCACTTCCGATATTAATCCTTGTTTCGCATAGGCCGGTTGCAGTGTCTTTTTTTTTTTTTTTTTTTTTTTTTTTTTTTTCTGTAGCCATTCCACAGTCCGAAGTCTTTTGCATTTTACAGTGGGTGAATCTCCAGTTGTCACTGATGATTGTCGTTTGAACCTTTCTGGATCTGCCATCAAATTCATAAGTTTAATTATATCAATTGCTGAAGACCTCCAACATCTTCACACGCAATATAGCCTACTAGCCGAGACACTATATTTATGTGTACAGATATGACGTAATGGCGAAAAGACATGCTTGAATTTCCGTCAGAAATCCACCAGTACCAATTATGTATGATTGGAGTGATGATCAAAAACGATGATGACGTCTATGCGTCACACCGAAGCAGTTTGTTATCTATGGATCCATATTGGCAGCGGACGCAAAGTTACCTTTTGATACAGCCTTTGTGTATACATACTGTAAACATTTAAATGATAGCCCAGGCTTTTATTTTCCCAAATCGTCGAACTGCACCGTCTTGTATTTGAGACAGGCATCTATATGAAACCGGCCTTCATAATTTAGTATTGAGATGTTATTCATTGAGTCTATAATCTCTTGAAATCTCCAAATGCTCCACGCACACTAATTGAAAACAATATCTATTGCATTAACAGTGCTTGGATTTTTTTGCTCACATGCAACCTAATATCTGTTTTTCTTATGACAGTGTGAACAGCACAAACCACATGGAATCTGATCTTTTCAATTCCTATTTGTGCAACTTCCATTTGTGGTACTAAATCCGATACAGATCAGATGTTTTGCAATGCAACCACAGTCTGCAATTCATGTGACATTTACTTCAATGTAGATCAACATTGCTGGTCAGTTCAGGATCGTGATCTGTTCACACTGAAATCTGATATTGTTTGCATTGAAATCTGATATTGGCCAGAATGGATTGCAATAAATAGAAATTGAGCGCTAAGGCTTGCATTGTGAACGTAGCTTTTAAGACCTGCCGCACATTTTCTCACAACTCTTTACTTTCATTAAAGTCCGCTGCGATTCCCACCCCTACTTCAGGGTAATTAATATGATTATGCCTTTTGCTTGACTACGTTATCAAACAGCTAATGTTTTGTTAAAGTTACACAAACCATGTTCCTGTTCACCATTAGACAGTCAGACAGCTGCCTTTGGTAACAATCAGTATCCTTAGAAACGCTTTGAGCAACTCAGAACATCAGTGGAGAAAGGCATATAGTTCATCATAACATCGTAATATACATCATACACCCACTTTATTGGTAAATGTTACTGATTTTTCATATCAACAGAAAAATAAACCCAAATTACCAGGCTTCTCTTGAGATTTCACTGCTTCAGAGTGGTCATAGTTAATCAAATGCCAATGCCCATTGGTTTAGTTTGTGATGTCAGAAAATACAGCTGTTTCAAACTGTGTTTTTGAGACTGTCTTTAGATCACTGCAGTTTTAAAAAGTGTGTTGACATGAATTTGCACATGGTTTGTCTTAAAGCGTATTAAAAACACCACATAGGCATTTAAACAAGATTAAAATGTTTATTTTCACCACAGGGGGACTTGATGTTAACTAATGAAACTTTTTTGTAAAGTGTTACCGAAATATGAAAAATATTCTCAGATTTCTTTTATTAAAAATAAATAAATAAATAAAAAAAATTAAATTTGCATTTGTTTTTGCAATCTGTTCTGTTTAGACTACCTGGAGGAGGTGGTGTGACTTCAGTTGCACTCGAACTCTGCCACAATTTGCATGAATGTGAAAGCAACATGGACTGTCCATTACTCAGCTAGCCATAATGGCACCAAATAAATAAAAACACAATAATATTGACAATAATACTGCACTTCTCTTCTATCATGCGCCGTGTACGTTTGTGATGATGTTAGATGAAGTGAAATGTACCAGGAGTTCGATAGAATTAAGTTGCTTGAAAAACCAGAACCTACACTGCAGGGGGCACCTAGAACAATCGCGCTCTAACGGCCGTTTCACACATACTCCGTTTGCGGTGCGTGTTGCAGTGCTTGTTGCAGTGTGTATACGGTACAGTAGCTGCATGGGCTATAGTGCTTTCACATATGCTGCGTTTGCAGTGCGTAACTAATCTGCGGTTGTGTCACAAACACAGGCCTACTCACTATTTTTATTTAAAATACAGAAGTAACGCAGCAACTTTTATTAAAAACAAAATCAGCCGACTCTAATGCCTTTTCTTTTGCATTTAAAGTTTAATACAATAAATCTTGCATTTCACAAATAACTTTTTTTTCAACTCCATTAAGGAAAATGACGTTCATTATGCCCTTGTTTAGGTAAATTGTAGTTTTCCTTGCTTAACCCCAGTCTTAAAGTATAAAAGATGACTGAAAAAAAAGTACTATTTAAATAAATACATTTATGGTGTGACTACTACATTTTATTAAATTAAATGCATTTATGGTGAAATTACTACATTTTGAGGTCAATCTGTTTTCATTTTGACCACGCTGTCACTTTAAATCAGCGTTTGCAGCACAGCAAAAATAGACTCTGTGCGGAAACGATCTCTGCACTGCTGTATACGCACCGCACCTGGAACGGATTGACGGACTGCATCCGCGTGCAGTGTGAAAACTCTAACATGTTAACATGGGTACGGAAAAAATACGCACCGCGTACGCTCAGCAAACGGAGTATGTGTTAAACGTGCGTAACTCAGGCTGCAAAACAAAAACGCACGTGTAAAAACGCCCTAAGAAATTGTTGTTTTGGAATCTTTGTTTAAAGGTGCAAAACGCAAGTATCTGAGTTTTTGCAGAACTACGCCCCCTCTGGCGACAAGCGAAACTGCGTGCGCGCTCATGGAACACACACATACACGCACATTTGCACGAGCTGTTCATTACCAAAGGAGCATCAGCCGCACACTGTGCGGCACACATCTTTTGTTACAGTCATAATGCGGTAATAGAGGGAATGCGCGTGACGTCGCCGTCGGCCGGCGTGCCTGCAGTTCCTCACAGTGAGTGGCAAAAACACTGAGCGGCTGTATATGTGTTCAGCGTGAATGCCGCGAAAAACAAACACAACACACACAAATAAAGTGGGAAAGAGCTTTGCGATTGACTGTAGGCCTACAACTAGATTTGACAAAACATCGGAGGTATATTTTTACGGACTGCTATGGAAAGAGGAGCAAATGGATCGCTGCAATTCCCAGAAACAACTGGACTCCAGTCAGCGAAAGGTGGATTTGCAGTTATCATTTTGTGTCAATTTGCTGAATTTAGCTGTAAAACCATACCCATATATTTTGTATTGTTATATATATTAACAGCTCATCAATTAAATATTTATCATTGCATTTTCTGCATTAAGTTTTTTTTAATAAACACTGACCAAAAAACGCATAAAGTTTTAGGGCTGGACGATATGATATATATATATATATATATATATATATATAGGCTATATATAACACTGATATAAGTGATAACCCGGATTTAGACCTACCTATATTATATTTATATAAAGCGTTCACAGGCAAATTTGCTTTATGTTTAGGTCTTGCTTTTATTTACCCGGTGTCGAAATCAGGCAATAAATGTCAGGCAACACGATTCCTGGCTGCATGTCAATATCCATGGATCACTGGATCTTTAGTAAGTCGTAAGGAACACTATATTGAGTCCAACATTTAGTTTAAATTTTTTGCCCCTCGGTCAGGCTGAGGGGGGGGTTGTCACGCGGGAAAGTCACGTGTCAATGCATTCCCTCTATACAGTTATAAATCTGCAAGTCATTTAAAATATATGAAAGGAAAGGCATTCGAGTAAATTACACACTTATGTGTGTGTGTGAGGGGAAAACGGGGGTAGTAGAAAACTTCGGTTTTTGTTTCCATTCCATCTATCTCCATGTTGAACTTTTTTATGTGCTTACTGTATCCACTTATGATTGAATTAATATGGAAACACGTTCATGAAAAATATATATTATTACTTTGTATAGGACCCGTTTGAGCCCTAGAGCAGACCGGAGATCTCTCCGTTTGTTGAAAGCTTCCCGATGTTGACTCTTGTCTTATTCCGACGACTGGCACTGGACAGACAGAAGTTGTATTTTCTTTGTCTTAGGGACTGTTCGTTATTTATTTAAGGGGACACCGGAGGAGATTTGAGATCTGTAGTCAAAAAAGACTTGACCCTCCCTTCGCCAGCAATATTTTTTTCTATGACCTTCCAAAATGATTGTGAAAAAAGGCATGACCCTCCCCGATAATTTATTGATTACTTCTGTTACTGGTTTGGTTCAGATAGCCATGATAAACGACTAAACTCCTGCTTTCTCATCTTACTAGGGCTGTAACGATAGACCAAACCTAGAATTCGGTTCGTAACATGAGTTTTGATTTGAATTTTTTTTTTTTTTTTTAAATCATGTTTTCGGTGCTGATGCAGTGGTGGCGCGTTTATGTAACATGCAATTTTGCGCTCAAGTTGAAAGGCATTTTGTGTATAGTAAAACATATCTGCAACATTTATCAAGTTCACTGATAATTGTGCATGCATTTATTAATCATTATGACATTAAAATCATAATAAAGTAGTATGCTTCCCTTTCAATAGTCCAAATTCAAGAGGGGGGGAGGGGGGGTATAAATAGTATATATTTATACATAATATGCATAAATATATACTATTTATTTAAACCGCTTGATAAAGAATTATATAGGCTATATAATTATTCTTTTAAATTACTTAAATAAGTAAGTATTTAAGTAAATCTTTAAATAATCTTTTAAATAAGTAAAAAATATATCCTGCAAGTACAAACTAAAATCTTTAAAAGTACAAAACAAAATTCTACAAGTACAAAACAAAATTCAAAATTCTACAAGTACAAAACAAAATTCTACAAGTACAAAACAAAATTCTACAAGTACAAAGCAAAATTCTACAAGTACAAAGCAAAATTCTACAAGTACAAAACAAAATTCTACAAGTACGAAAAACTGTCACGTGACTTTTGGCACTATTTTTCCGCGTCCAGGCAGAATCAGATTTTCTCACAAATACAGTTGAGCAACTTCCTCTTCTAGAACAGTAGATGACGCTAAGATAAGGGATCAATTTGCTCGCCTTTGCCCATGGGAAAATGAGCGGTGAACAGGTGTGTTTCTGTCTAACTTTATCTATAATTAACCTTATTGAGGTTTTGGTAAATGTTTATTATATAGACAGAAATCCACATTAGCACTTATTAGTAACTTAGCACTCCACTCTAGGAAAAGGGAATCTATAAGCTGAAAGCTCTGCCATTATGTTGCTTTTTACATTTTTGTAAAAATGTTTCATTTACTGAATGAATATTTCTTTCATTCTCCATATATTACTGAGAACATTTCATTTAATTGAAAGGGTCCCACTTATTCATTAATTTAGTTGGAATTCAGTCAGCGTAACTGTTAATGAAATAAAATAATGAATGAACAAAACAAACAATATACAGTTGTTTCTTCCCTGTGATGTATTGCCCAAATTATTATTTTGGACAGACAAATTAAACCCTCCTTTCAATTAAATTAAATGGTCTCATTAATGTATGGAGAACGAAAGTAATAGATTCGTTAAGTGAACATAATCACTACTTTAGTCATTTCACATGTGTTTTATGTAGATTATTAATATTAGTTTTTTAAAGCAACATATGATATAGATTTCAGCTTAGATTCCCCTATCCTGGAGAGAGTGAAGTGCTGCTAGCGGTAATTTGGATTTTTGTCAAGAAATAATAAACATTTTGCAAAAGAAAACCTCAATAAGGTTAATTATATAAAGTAAGACAGAAACACAACTGTTTACCGCTCATTTTCCTCAGCTGTAGTAGGCAGTGTTGGGAAAACGTGTTTCGTTACAGAATAAATGCCCAAAAATGTCATTTGTAACGTATTCCATTGCATTATTCAATCTGAGGGATTAGGTCCGCATTGAATTACCTTTTGTAAGTGTAAGAATGTGGCCATCCTACTAAACTGGCCTATTCTGGTGGGTGCAGTGATTCGGTGGTGACGCGTGTAACATGTAGGGTGTCACTGCCAATAAAGCACCTTAAAGCTGTCATAAAGAACTGGCAAAAGATTATGAATATGTAAAATATAGCAAGAAGATATTTTAATTGTTTATTAATAAACAAGTGTATTCTTTGTCAGTGTGTCGGCTGAAAACATGAAGTTGACAATGCTGACTCGCTATCTTCGCAGTGAGCGCGCCAGGATTAATAATCTAGCCTACATAAAACGCGTGTGAAATGACTAAAGTAGTGATTATGTACACTGAAGTAATCTATTACTTTCGTTTCGTTCTCAATACATTAATGAAAACATTTAATTGAAAGGAGGGTTTCATTTGTCTGTCCAAAATAATAATTTGGACAAGACATCACAGGGAAGAAACAACTGTAGCCTATATTGTTTGTTTTGTTCATTCATTATTTTATTACATTAACAGTTACGCTGACTGAATTCCAACTAAATTAATGAATAAGTGGGACCCTTTCATTTAAATGAAATGTTCTCATTAATTTATGGAGAATGAAAGAAATAGACTCATTCAGTAAAAGAAACAGTTTTACAAAAATGTAAAAAGCAACATGATGGCAGAGCTTTCAGCTTATAGATTCCCTTATCCTAGAGTGGAGTGCTACTAAGTTACTACTAAGTGCTAATGTGGATTTCTGTCTATATAATAAACATTTACCAAAACCTCAATAAGGTTAAAGGACAACTCCGGCTCAAAATGAACCTTTGGTCTAATTACACATTGCTACCTAGTCAACCGTTATCTGAGATTTGTTTTCATGATTTCCGAATGTAAATAGTTTTATCTCTAAAAACAGTTTAGCCTATAACGCTAGTATAATGCTAGTATATAGGGCATAGAGTAATGAAAAATAAAAAAAGAGCTTTGCGGGAAAG